GAGCGGGTGAGATAGCGGGGCAGGGGGGGTGAGGGAGCGGGGGCGGACGTGGCGGAGCGGTGATGAGGCGGAGGGTGCGGGAGCTAAAGCAGCGCTCTTCCGGTTCTGCTTCCTCAATGAGAGGGAAAGCAGCAATGGAATGCAATGGGCTGCGTTGGCCCTACCGGATCACGGGCTGGAATAGTTGTGAAATGTCTTTGAGAATAAAAGTTGAGTCTTGGACTGGGAAAGTTGGTTTAGAATACGAATGCCAATGAAAATGTGTTTTCAGATTGTGTCCTCAATTACGTCAATTAACTGTATTTTCTCTTTCACTGATAACATTATAATGAAAGACTAAAGATAAATTGTGAGAAATAATCTTCACAGTAATATTCTCTCTTTTAAAGTTCAATTCGATATGTAATTTAATGTAATTATACTGGAAAACGGTATAATCTTGTCGGGAAAAAATAATTATATTCACAAACGTGTTTCTAAATTTCGTATGTTTTCTACTCGTCATAACTTTGTAACACATTTTGAAGGTAAAGAAGGAAACATAATGATTTTAAACTTACAAATGCCATAAGAAATGTACACAATTAGCGACAACAGCACGACGTTCATGTATTATTATTGTGTTCATCCCACGAAACATTTTGGAAAGTGAAGTTCAAAATTGTGTAAACGTTAAGGTGCTGGAACATGCCGATTTGAATCTATATTTAATGTCGATTATAATATGTTTGAAAGATTCTACTGTTGCAAAATTTATTATTAATAATACTACGTCCATAGTTACATTTTTGTAATTTCTGGAAAACAAATATTTAATTACACTCCCTGATGGTACAAAAGGATTACGATGATGCAATATAAAAATTTCAAGATAAAATTAACAACACATTATAAAACAAAATTATATGAATACTAGTGGACATCAAACATTGACGGCAACTGAAAAGAAATCCACAGAAATGACTGTTTTCTAAATACAAGAATTTTAAACATTTTCTTTATCTTTCAATGCAAATTGACGAAAAATAAATATTCCGTATTTCATAATAAATACACTACTGGTTTCAATATATTTGTTTACATTGAACCAAGCATTTAGTTCTGAGCAATGTAACTGTTTTTGAAACAATGTCTCAGAAACATTGCCTTCAGTAAATGCCAGTACACTAGGGGTAAATTGAATGGTAAGCAGGTCACACAGTAATGGTTGTTCCAACATATTGTTTGCGAAACTTTCGTAACAAATCTTTACTTCTATATGAAAAAGAAGCGATCTCGTTGTGAATATGATATGCATTTTCTGTTACAATTTCCATATTTTCACAGACATGGCCTTCCTAAACATAATTCTAATTGTGAGTCTCACAGACTTGCATATGCCAATTGACCCGCAGACCAAAATAATGTGTTATTGACGAGAGATAAGCGTTTCCTATTATTTTTACGTTTTTGTTAAAACTTACTTTTAGCATAAAAAGAGTTAAAAACTCACATGGAGCCAACTAAGTTTTATTTAATGAAAAAATCACGAAATTTGGTTTAGCGGAGAACTTAAATTGGTTTTTGAAACGAAAACCTTTAGTGTTTCAAATATAAAGATCATAGTTAAAATTATTTTCCTTTACGTTTCATAATCGATGTGAAGACAGCCTTAAGTGAAAGTTCTGTATTAGTCCAACATGAAATACAAATAAAATTTAAGAATATATTTTCTAATCGTTTATTAGAATAATATTCTAATGAATTTCTATAAAGATTTATAGAAATTTATTTTTTTATCTCAAATAGATTCATTTGAAGAATAAATATAGAAGAAGGAATAAATAACATTATTAGTTTTGTTTTTAAATTAGTAAGACTTACAAATGTGTTTTTGTAAGCGAGTTGCGTTAATGAGAGAGGGCTGGCAGATGCTTCGTAAATATTATTATAATCGTTATTATTATTATTATTGTTATTATTGTTATTATAATTATAACGGTCATTATCTTGCGCAATTGGAGCGTGGACTGTGGCGATTGGAGCAGAGAAGCCTCCCCCGTCCTTGTTCTGGCGGGCCGAACGCGTCCTGCCTCCTGCCGTCATGAGCCGTGGCCCGCGGGAGAGGGGGCGGGGGCGGAGGCGGAGGCGTCCGTGCGTGCTCCGTCGGCCTGCGTCGCCGTGTCGGGATCCCGCCCGCCCCCGCTTTGTTTCCAGCGCCGCGCTCTCCCC